TGCCAGATCCAGACCAGGACCGGACACAACAACAGGACCGTACCCGTGGCCGTTTCCGCAGGGCGGCACAGGTACCTGCAGTGTGTCACAGGGCCCTTTGTGACACAGTGGGTGTCACCCATGGGATGGATGGGGCAGGGTGTCACAGGTCTCTTTGTGACATGTGATGCCATCGCCTCCTGGGCTGGGCATGCTGTCCCTGCTCAGCCTTGCACCGCTGATGGAGCTCTCCATGACACATCATCCTCTTCCCTGCTCTCCATTCTCCTGCAGGCCTTTCTGAAATTCCTGGGCATTCAGCGTAGAAAGACCAGGACCTCACAAGCTGAGGCCATGGCACAGGCTGACACCAGGCTGACTAAGATGAAGGCAAAGCCTGATGTCGGCACTGCGCCAACTGATCTTACAAGCAAGTCTGTCCCTGCCTTGAATAATCACACAAGAAACTCTGACACCACACGGAATGATCAAAGAAAGAAGTCTGACACTGATAAGACGGATGACACAACAAGCACTGACACCACATCAACTGATCACACAACAACCTCTGACGCCGTGTTGACCGATGAAGCCACAAACTCTGACGCTGCACTGCCTCATCTCACTGCGGAGGTTGCCACTACAACAACAACTGTCAGCACTGACTCCACGTCCAGTGACAGTCCGATTGATTCTCCCATTTGGGATTTTTTTGGGGAGAATGGTGTCTCCAGTCCAAAGCAAGTAAGCAGCCTGTGGCCAGGGCTCAAGCCAACCTAGGGTGGTGTGGCCCCTCAAGCCGGCTCCCCTGGGCTCACTCAGCCTTTGAGGCCAGCAAGTCTGGTGGAAAGGGCAGCATTTCTGGGGGAAGCCTGGCAATTGGCTTCCTCTGGCAGTTCTCCCACTCTTCCCCATTCCCGCCCTCCCCCTCTCCCCCATTCCCCCTTCTGGGACTTGGTGATCCAGAGCTTTTCAGGTGCCCTTGAGGCCAGCCCATGGCACTTGGTGAGCCACAGCTTTCCTGAGGCCTCTCTCTTGCAGGTGCCCTCAAGGCCAGACGGTGCGATGGCGGGGAGAAGCCTAAGCCTGGGCAGACTGTTCAGGGGCAAGAAGGAGCGCTCTGGGGCTGCTCCAGCACAGCAGCCTAAGAAAGTGGAGCAGCCCCAGCCCCTGCAGGAGGGTGAGTGGCAGAGCTGAGCCACAGGGCTGGTGGCTGCAGCCAGATGGGCCTCCTGTCATCCGATCCCCTGCAGACATGCCCAGGAAACAGGAGGGGAGAAGCGAGGCCCGGGGCTGATCCTCCAGTGGCCGTGCTCAGTCCTCTGGGCACCGCAGGGCTGGCCCTGCCTGTGGAGCGCAGGGCTGGGCTGTGTTCTCCAGCCTCTCCCACAGCCCCTCAGCTCTGACTGTGATCACTCTTTGCCAGATCCAGGCCAGCGCCGGACACAAGAGCAGGATCGTGGCCGTGACTGGTGGCGCTTTATAGTCCAGGTACCATCAGCCATCCCCACCTGCTCAGCGGACACCACCATTGGAGCACTCGATGGGACATCCCTCTCTTCCCTGCCTTACTTTCTCCCACAGATGTTTAGGAACTTCAGAGGCACTCGACACAGACATACCCACACCACGCTGACTGGGGGCACGGGGAAGGCTGCTGTCAGCATCAGGCCAATTGACACCACACCCCCTCAGAGCCTGGCTGATGCTCCTGGTCTGGACTCTTCTGAGGAGAAAGTTGTCTCTGCAAAAGTAAGCAACCTGAGGCAAGGGATCATGTGGACCCTCAAGATGGGTCTGCTGGGCCCCCTCAGCCTTTGAGAACAGCACAGTGTGGTGGGAAGGGAAGCACTTCTTGGGAGAAGCTGGGCAAGTTGCTCGCTCTTGCAGCTCTCCAACTCTCCCCCATGCCCCCTCCAGGTGCAGACCTTCGTGAAGAACATGCATCAGAGACTGACAGCCAAGGTGTTCCCAGAGAACAGACTGTTCATGGACTTTCTGAGGCTGACTGATACCTACCCCACTGATGTTGCCTTGACCCTCCTGCGCTGTTCCCCATCATGTGACAGGTATGGGGCCCACCTGCCTTCAGGGCTTGGGGCTTACCAGCCTTTAGAGACTGTCCCACGTGCTCTGCCAGACAGATGGAGAGATCCAGGACACTCTGGCCCTTGTGTTTCCCAACCCTGGTGTTTCATTCCCCGATCCTGCTGTCATGCTCCCTCCTGGCCCCTCAAGGCACCGTGGCTCTGTCTCCTGGGCTCCTGCAGCTGCCCAGGACACAGCACAGTGGCTCACACTCCCCTAATACAGAGCTCTGTCCCTGCAGAGCTGCTGCAGTCATGTGGAGGACCATAGCCTTGTCTGGAACAACAGTGGTGAGGGTGATGCCAACACTGCTCTACGTGATGGAGGACTGGCCACTGCACGGCACGTCCACCTCTGAGGGGGACAAGGACATCTTTGCCCTGGCTGTGAGTTTCTGAGGTTTTTGATCAACTCCAGGCTGCCTCTCTGATAGTTCTCTATCCTCCCCCACCAAGCTATCTCTCTGCCTCAGGCACTAGGCCGGAAACCTGGACTAGGGGCAGGTTCAGGGGCACTAGCCTAGGGGTTCCCCCTGAGTCTCCCCTGGCCTTTCCTTCCCATGCTCGGGTCCTGCCACATGGATATGTGGGCACTGAGAGCTGGTCCGGGTGTTTATCGTTTGTAGGCAACCATAGTGGTTTGGGAAATTCTCCAGATGATCCGCTACCCAG